AGTGCTCTACAAAATACTGAGCAAAGACAGAGGCCTATGCATGTTAGCTGGTATTTTTATCATTATTATATTTGATTGCATGGACTAGCAAAGGACCTTGCTTTCTTGGTACCCACAGGGCCTGCGCTAGATGGGCCTGATAGGCACAGGCTGGGCATTGAGCAAGACAGGAATTAATTAAGTGGATAAGCGGATGCAATCAATGAATAATGCATTGACCCTTGTACATACCATGGACGGGTAAGTGCATGTCTGATTGGGTGGCTCTGTTCCCTGTGAACTCTCTGAGATGTAAGAGTAGGGGTGGTCACACAGCAGTAATGTGCTGCCACATCCTGTAAAACAGAATCAGAGTCTTTGTTAGCCTTGCAATCCTCCTTTGGGTCCCTAGAGGGAAAGAGAAGGCGTGACTATGACTGCAAGCTTTTCATACTGGCCATCTGGCCACTTTCAGCCTTGGTTCACCTTCATCTGTATGTATACTCCCACCTCTGACCCCCACTCCAGCGTGCTTCCCCCATACACCCATCGCAAATGAGAATGAAAATGAGGCTCAGGAAGGCGGCCAGGCTGTGTTCTTGGAACAGAGGCTGGGCAGGCATCAGTCTGCACTCTCTGGTTTACAGTCTCAATTTCTCCCTACTCATGCCTGGGTCAGCTTTTAAGGAGTGCCTCTTCCCCATTTGTTTTACTTACTTATGATTCTGGAAACTTTGGAAAGAGGTTATATTTAGAGCCTTGGTGATTTTAGAGTTGCTAGAAGGGCTGATGAGAGGTGCTGAAAGAGGGAGGGACAGCCCCTTTCCTTGTGGGTTATTTGGAGTGGGGAGGGCTTCGTGTCCTGTCATCTCTGTGAAGGACCAAAATCTGTGTTGGAGGGGGTGGGTAGGAGGCCATCTCTTTGACAGTGTGTGTGTGTGTGTGTGTGTGTGTGTGTAGGGTCTATACGTCAGAAAACATCTGATGTTTTCAGAGGGTACCTTGGTTTGGAAGGTGGTGGGTATGGATTCCTTCTCTGTTATCATCGGCTGTAGTGCCTGTTATATATGAGCTTTGGGGGGCTTTCTAAGTCCTAAAAAAAAAAAAGATACTCAAAGAATGCTGCAAGATCAAAATTAAGGTATGTTGAATTAAAACTTCTCCTTATGTCTTCTTTATTATTAAACTTTGTATTTAAAATTTTCCGATGTAAAGTTTCAGCTAAGGTTGTTGTATTTTGCAGGAATCCCAAAGAACATGTAATAAACATCCAGGGATTATAAGTGACCACAAATTTATTATTGTTTTTACTGAGATGGGGTCTCACTGTGCTGTACAGGCTGGCCTTAAACTCCTGGGCTTAGGTAATGCTCCTGCCTCAGGCTTCTGAGTAGAAACCAGGACTATAGGCATTTGCCACAGTGCCCAGCTAGACTGATGTTCAAACTTGAAAAGCAAAACTTGCTTTTGAGTTTGCATGGACAAAATTATTTATTTTGATGTGTTGGATTGGTATACAGCTTTCCCCAAAACAAGTATCCAGTTGGCCTTGCCAACACCCCTTACCAGCAGCTTGGCTTCCTCACATGTTTTTTGTTCAGTGAGGGAGCTGAGCTTGAAATCCAGTTTCTTCTTTACCTCACAACCTGTGAATACTTTTATTTTTTCTATTCTTTCTTTCTTTCTTTTTTTTTTTTTGAGATGGGGGTCTCCCTTGTCAAAAACAGACACCAAATGAGACATTGCTGACTTTGATCTGTTTTTGTAGGACAGGATTTCAGTATGTTGCCCAGGCTGGCCTGGAGCTCCTAGGCTCAAGTCATCCTTCTGACTCATCCTCCTGAGTAGATAGGGCTATAGGTGCACCATTGCTCCTGACCCTTGTTTTTCCTTCTTTTATCAGTGTATTTTTCAGCCCATAAGGTTGGACAGATGCCATTATGTTTGTATGTGAGCATTATGGATTGAATGTTTGCACCCCCATTCATACATTGAGGCCCTAAATCCTGCTCTGTCTGTATTTGGAGATAGTGAAAATGTGGTGAAGGCTAAATGAGCTCATAGTAATGGGTCCTAACATGTTAGGGCTTGTGCCTGGTGAAGGAAGGTAGATACACTGGAGATCTCTCTCTGCCATGTGAGGACACCATGAGAAGGTAATGGTTTGCAAGCCAGGAAGAATATTCTCCCCAAGAACAGAATTAGCCCATGTTTTCAGTCAAGGTTCTCCAGAGAGAACCAGGAGGAGATAGATAGGTAATAGCTAGCTAGATTAGTAAGAATGGATTTGTTAGAGAAATTGGCTATTGTGATTTGGGAGCCTGAAAGTCCCACACAGGCTGTCTGCAGACCATGGGATACTAGTAGCCGAGTTCAGGCACAGGACTGAGAACCAGGGAAGCTCGGTGTAACTCTCAGTCCAAGACCAAAAGCCTGAGAACCTGGGAGTTTATATGTAAGTCATAGAGTCTAAAGGTCCTAGAGCATGGAGTTCTGATGTCTAAGGGCAGGAGAAGATGGGTATCCGGTTTTCAGGACAGAGAAAGAGAAGAAAAGAGAGATATTGCCATCCCTCTTATCTTTTTTGTTCATCTGGGCCCCCAGCCCACTGGGTGATGACCATTCATATTGTTTCCCATTTGGTTCACCAACTAGTATGCCAATCTCCTCTCATACCCTTACTGACAACACAGAGATGATGCTTTACCAGTTCTCCAAGTACTCCCTAATTCAGTCAAGTTGACACTAAAATTAACCACCACTGCCAGCACCTTAATTTTGTGCTTCTAAAGCCTCCAATTGTGAGAAATTTTTGTTGTTCAGGCCAAAAATACTAATCTGTGGTATTTTGTTCTGGCAGCCTGAGCTGAGTACTACAGTAAGTACATCTAAAGGTTAAATCAACAGAAATAGAAACACAGAATCATGCAGTAAAAGAGTATATGTATTTACAAATTTGTTAGAGGGTACCCACTTTTATTCCTACCAGCAACAATGTGTTCACCATCATGCAACATCAAACTGTATGCAAACTTATGGCTTTTTTTTTCTATATCAGGGTGAAAGTGATCATTTAATATTATTAACCAAATTTTTAAAAATTGGGGTGTGGGGGTATTGGGATTTGAACCCAGGGGTGCTTAACGACTGAGTCACATCCCCAGCCCCTTTTATTTTTTTTAATCTTGAGACAGGGTCTACCTAAGTTGCTGAGGCTGGCTATGAACATGCGATTCTTTTGCCTCATCCTCTTGAGTCACTGGGATTACAAGTTTGTTCTACCATGCCCAGCTTAACCAAATTTATTTACCAAGGAAACATTCTATTGTTATTATAAATGGAAACCTAGCATATTTTTCATAAATAAAATGTTACTGACAAAATAAAAGAAAGTAAAACAAAAAATACTGTTATATTTGTCCTGGATGCTATTGTCTACAGAATGGTCTGAGGCTGAGATCTGTTAAAAGGAGAGGTAAAGAAGTCTGTGATTTTTTTCTTTTTTTCTTTTTATGGTACCTGAGAATTGAACATGTTAGGTAAGCTCTCTACCCCTGAGTACAGTCCCAACCAGAATGAGGAAGCTAGAAGGGATGTTAAAGAATAGGCCCAAACTTGCCAGGAGTGGTGGTGCAAGCTGGTAATCCCACCTCCTGGGGAGGCTGAGGCAGGAGGATCTAGAGTTCAAAGCTAGCCTCAACAAAATTGATGAACGGAGCAACTCAGAGACCCTGTCTCTGAATAAAATACAAAATAGGGCTGGGGATGTGGCTCAGTGGTTGAGTACCCCTGAGTTCAATCTCTGGTACCAAAAAAAAAAAAAAAAAAAAAGGCCCAAACTGAAGCTTCATGTTGATGCATCAGACATCATCGTTCTTACTCTGGTCCCAGATATGCGAGAGCTGCCACTGTGTAGCTGAGGGCTGAGTGGCTAAGTGTCCCTCATTTTAAATGCTCAGGACCAGAAGTGTTTCTGATTTCAGACTTTTGTATTTTATTTCTTTAATACTTGTGCATAATATATGGGGAAGTTTTCTTGGGGATGGGGCCCAAGACTAAGCATGAAATTTATGTTTAATATGCACCTTAAACACATAGTCTAAAGGTCATTTTACACAAAATTTTTAGTGCATCTGTGCTTTGACTGTGACCCATCGCATGAGGTCAGGTGTGGAATTTTCCCCTTGTGGCATCATGTCAGCACTCAACAAGTTTCAGATGTTGACGGGTTTGGGATTTAGGGATACTTAAACTATCTGGTATTAAGCGAGCATATACATGGTGTTCCATTACGAACATCTTACTTAGCATGCTGTATTTATCACAATTACTGAACCAGTACTGATACATGGCCATGTAATAAAGCCCATTGTTTATTCAGATTTCCTTAGTTTTTACCTAATGGCTTTTTTCTATTCATGGGTCCCAGCTGTTAGTAATTGTTACATATATACAATTGAGCAAAGTACAAATAACTGGATTTCTGCCCTGGAAAAAAGCTATTTAAACGTGTTTCTCCAAACTATCAAAGAACTACAGGCTATTTTTCTGGCATCAGTTTTTTTGTTGTGGTTTTTGCATGACTGTGGCATCCAGGATGCATTAAATTGAGGTGTCATGACTCCTCAGACTTTTCTCAGCCATGACACTTTCTTAGACTTTCCTTGTTTTGATGATTCTCGAGACCCAGAGGAAGAACTAGCTCAGTTTCTTCTACTCAACACAGGCCACTTCTGTGATGCGGGTGTGTGAAGACTGCTCCCTGCCAGCAAGAAAGCCACTGAGTCTGCAGCAGACACCAGCTGCTGTCCTCTAATTCACTTCTGTTCTGACACTCTTCCTGGAAGTAGCATCAGATCCCACAGGTTGAGGGCTCAGTCTCAAAGACTGGCCCCGCTTACTTTAGGTGCCAGTTGCAAGCCTCAGCTTGTGACCTGTTCTTCTGGCTAATCAACTATAAACTAGCGTTCTCACAACCCCCTCCTCGGAATTTTTAAGTTTGGTGGAGTAGCTCACAGAACTTAGAGAAACACATTTACCAGTTTATTACAAAGAACACAGATGAAGAGATGCATAGGGTAAGGAATGGGGGAAGGGGTGTGGAGGTTCTCTACTCTCTGGGCACACCCACCCTCCAGGATCCTTCCGCTCTCTGGAAATTATCTGAACCCTATCTTTGGGGGGTTTTATGTAGTCTTCATCGCATAACCATGATCAAAACACGGACAACCCTGTAGAGATGTGATTGGAACTGGGCATGGTGGCCCTTGTTTATAATCCTAGCTATTCAGGAGGCTGAAGCAGGAGAATCTCAAGTTTGAGGCCTGTCTAGGCAACATAGTAAGACCCTGTCTTAAGATAAATATGAAAAGGGCCCGGATATAGTGAGTGGTAAAGTATCCTGGGTTCAATTCCCAGTACCACAAGCACACACAGAGAGAAATAAATAAATAAATAAATGTGATTGGACACAAAGGGTGTAATGTAATGCTAATAGACTGACTGGAGAAACCCCACCGATTCAGATTTTCTTGGCTTCTCTGTGCGGCATCCCTTTCTCTGGGGTATGGGGCAGGATCCTTTCTGAAATGAGGGTCTTATGACTTACTTAATCAGGTATGGTAGGTCAGAGAATTTCTTTTTCTTTTTTTTCCACGCCAGGGATTGAACTCAGGGGCACTCGACCACTGAGCCACATCTCCAGCCCTATTTTGTATTTTATTTAGAGACAGGGTCTCACTGAGTTACTTAGCACCTCGATGTTGCTGAGGCTGGCTTTGAACTTGCAATCCTCCTGTCTCAGCCTCCTGAGCCGCTGGGATTACAGGCATGTGTTACCGTGCCCTGCTGGAGAATTTCTTTATGGTCAGGTGAAGATTAGGATTTTTGAAACCTGCCTTGGGGAAGAGAAGTTTAGTTTCTGTGGCCTGCCCTTAAGAGGGAGTTATGAGCCAAGAACCACAAACAGAAAACAAAAGATATATCATAATGGTCATGATGACCTTGACAGTTCTAAGGAGCACTGGTCAGGTATTTTGTAGAAGATCCCACTTTTGGAATTTGTCTGATGTTTAGTTTCATGAGTAGATTGGGGTTCTGGGTTCTAGGACAGGAAGACCACAGAGTTTAAGTGCTATTTTTATAACCTCGGAGCAAGTGAGCAATTGCTATCGATGTTGACCTTGATCACCTGGCTGAGAGAGTGCTTGTCAGGATTCTTCACCATGCAATCCCCTTTGCTCTCTTTCCATGCTTTCTTCTTTGGAGGGAGGTCATTCTTCACAGGCCACCCTTAAGGAGTTATGCTCCCTCTTCTGGGGGCAGAGTATCCATATAAGTTACTTGGGATTCTCCTATAAGAGATAAATGAGAGATTTATTTTTTCAATCATATATTTATATCAGTGTGGATTTTTGGATATTTGTTTTATATGTACTACTTTATTTTACTGATCAAAATTTTCCAGCTTTGTCCATTGGAGTCTCTTTCAGTTGGTTCATATTTCCCTTTGACATTCTCCCATCATTATAGATTTAATTTAATTTAATTACTCAGAGGCACTTGACCACTGAGCCACATCCCCAGCCCCCCGTTTTTTTCTTTTATTTAGAGACAAGGTCTCACTGAGGTGCTTAGCACCTCGCTTTTGCTGAGGCTGGCTTTGAACTCACAATCCTCCTGCCTCAGCCTCCTGAGCTGTTGGGATTACAGGTATGTGCCACAGTGCCTGGCTTCTAGGTTTTATTTATTTATTCTATATTGAGCACTTCATTACTTTCTGGCATTACAAGATGCTTCAGGATTATTGAATATTTGCCACAGTCTTACTACAATCAGGCATTTCTTCAGGGAATTATACTTCTTTTATAGGACAAAGGTATTAGAAACCAAGATCTGAGTGGTCAGTGTACTTGTTGCTATTGGGGTGTCAAATCACATTTTTAATTTGCTAATAGCACTCAGGATACCCATATTTCTAATCTCTCCTTAACTTCCTGATAATTTCCATCAAAAACAACTGATAACCTCACTGTTTCCCCCAATTTTTTTTTTTTACTTTTTTATTTAAATCTTTGCTCACACTTTGCCTAAATCCCTCCCATCCTTAGGGCCTCTCTCTTCTTTCTGCCACCTGTTCCCCAGGTTCTTCGATGACCCTGCCTGGGGAAATTCTGAAAACTCAAATGCAACAGAAACCTAAGATACTTTTGGAAAGAGAATTCCATAAACATCAAGCAGGATGGAATAAAATAGGAAAGACAGCATCTACGTAGCATCTTTGTCTTCATCTTTTCCTGAAACAGTTTTGATGTTTGAATCCACATAGCCTAACCATTGAGTTTTATTAGGGCCTGCCCCCCACCCTCCTTAAATTTTCTGATAGAATCCACTGGGTTGAGTTTTATGATTCAGAACCAGAGCTGAACTATGAATCCTGTAACCAAGCATAGCACCTGTGCAGCAGGTACAGGGAGAAGCAAGGGAAGTAGGTGATGCTTTGAGATTGCTTTATCCAGCTTCTTCATTCCAGTTTTATGGACGGAAAAACTGAGACCTAGGTAAGAAAAAAATCATGCAGTGATTAAAATAGTTTGTTCTAGAACAAGTTTGATTGCTGATATGTGCTCTTTCTGTTGTGTTAAAGGCTTAAATAATTTCCCCCCCCCTCAATAAATTTATTTTAACATCTCTATCCTGTACCTACATAGGTACCCAATGACACCCTGGTGGAGGGGGCAGCCCAGTTTTTCAAAGATGCACAGGTTTTGGAATAAGTGAGACCTGCATTGAAGCCTAGCTCCACCCTTAATAGCCATTTGATCTGTAGGCAACTTCTCAGAGTCAATTTTCTCATCTGAAAAATGGGTCTGGGTCACAGGCCTGGTCTGTAGCTAAAGCAAAAGTATGGAGACGAAGGCACCTGGAGCGTGCCAAGTCTGTAACCTGTGCTCAGAGTTTGTTCAAGGAATCTGAGAGCTGGGATGCTTCTGTAGCTCCTCACCTGCACAGCTTGGACCTGGAAACAAATAGGAAGTGCCATTGCTTTTGCTTGTTTAGTATCTTTACAAAGCTGGACACAGCAGGTGCTCAAAAGCACTCCCTGGATGAAGGAATGCCACAAAGCAAAATCTGCCCTTTGGAATTCCCCCACAGGCAGACACTGGCCTGGGAGTATATGAAGCAAAAAGAGAAAGCCTGCTCCAGGCAGAAGGCAGGTGCCAGGTGCAGGAGGCAGATGGCCCAGAGTAGCCCAGCCAACCTCTCATTTTATGTACGAGAAGACTGAGGTCTCAGGCAGGTAGGTGTGGGGTCAGATTTGCGGAGCTGGGCCTCTGCCCATGGTCAGGGTGGAGGCTGAATACAGGATCATGGGGCCTGGCACCTCCATGCTTTCATTGTTTCCAGCCTGCCCGCCCTGTCTGGGCCTGGACACATCCACAGCTGAACAAGATGTGGCAGGAAACCATGAATCCTGGGGGCAAAGGAATTCATGAAACCAAGCTGGCTTCTCTGTCTAAATCCCTTACCCTTTGCTTCCAGGCTTGCTCTGGCCTGTCGTCCCTGCCTCTTGGAGGCTAGTGGCTCTGCCTTCCAAATCCCATCAGGAGCTGGGTGACAACAAGAATCAGGGCTGGCTAGGCATGCATCAAGTCAGAATCCAAACCCCAACTTTTATTGCTGCAGGGAAGGATGCCCTTTTTGAAGCATGACTTTTTATGAAAAAGGACGTTTTCTTGGCAGTAAGTTTATCTGTAAGACAGCATGACATGGAGCTGGGGTCAGGAAACTTTTCTGTAAAAAACTAGAAAGTACATATTTCAGGCATTGATGGACATGCAGTCTCTCCTGCAAACACACTGTCTTGTCTGTTCAAGCACAAAAACAGCCAGACGTTGTAGAAAGAAGCAGATGTAGCTGAGTCCTGATGAAACTTTATGGACACTAAAATTTGCATTTCATACAATATTCAAGTGGTGTAAAATATTAACCATTTTTCAACAATTAAAAATATAAACCCCATCTTAGTTTGATGGACATACAAAATTAGGCCCAGGTCAGCATGCAGAAGGTAGTTTATAGACTCTAGCACACAGCGTGGACTTGGGAGTCAGACAGACCTGGGCTTAAATCCTAGCTTGGCCACATGTTTGGCATCTGACCTCTGATGGGTGACTTGATCTTGAACCTCAGTTGTCCGATCCCTACATGGGGGTAAGAATGTTTACCTCATAGGATTTTAGTAAGCAATAAATGAAGTAAAGAGTACCCGAGACTGATATGGATTATTTGAAGTCCTCAATAGGTAGAGGTTATTATTATTATTATTGATTTTTCTCAGCCTAATCTCTAATCACACTAGTAATGAGAATGGAGAGTGATATTCCATTCTTCTTTGCCTCTCAGAATCTGGGAAGTCTATGGATAAAGACAATCATCATAGGCTTCCAATAAAACTATAGCCTTTTGCTCTTTGCTATAATTAACTCATCTTTTTTGTTTCTAGTTCACTTTGATTTAGCGCACCCTCACAGAGTACAGACTGTAGGGGCTCAGGTGCCACAGGAATGGAAAAATGAACTTGACAAAGAGAGATATCTTAGTGGGGGAGATAAGATGCAAACCCAAGCAACTAGCAAAACAGCATGTGGCAATAAGACACCTTTGGAAGCCATTGTGTGTCTCATTTTTTGAGCTCTAGGCCCTGTGCTAAATTCTTTCTGTATATATGTGAATCTTTATTTATAAGCCCATGAGAAAGGGATTATTATTATTTCCTTTGAGAAGTAGTGAAATGGAGACAGGGAGATGATGTAGGTAGTGGCCAAAGGTCACAGATCCAGACCTGTGTGAATGGAGAACACAAACCTAGGCCTGGCTGATACAGGGCTGGAACTTCCCATCTCTGGAGTTCAGAAAATCCATCTGGCCCGGAAGGTTCTGGAAACTTCACCAAGAGAGCAGCTTTCCAGATGTCCCCTGAAACCTAAGGAGAGCTTCTTTAGGCATTAGGTAGGGACAGGGATGGGAGATTCAGGCTCAGGAACAACATGAGCAACTATCCCTTGGTGGGAATGTGGCAGGTACTAGGTGTGTTTGGGGAGTGCAGGGTGGGGTGCGATTCATACAATTGCTCCCTCTTCACTGGACTTGCGGCTGCCTGAATTCAGGAGGGAGTGGAGGCTCACATAAATAGATCTTCCTCTGGACAAAGTGAGACCTTCTCATTTTGAAGCAATTGCTGTGCATGGCAGTGGATTCTTCAAATGTGCTTTTGTGTCCTTAATTCCTCCCTGGCTTCCAGAGGCAGCCTTCCTGGGGCAAAGAGAGGTGTGGTGGAAACAGCGCAAGGCAAAGCACCCAGCAGGAGCCGTGTGACCCTGGCCCGGTCATGTCCCTCCACTTGTTTTCTTCAAATGTAAAATTAGCAGTTAGGTGACCTCTTTTCAGTTCCGAATTATGGTGCACGAAGCCCATTTCAGTAAGGGAAGCCTCCTCCACCTCTAGCTTACTACAGGTGAGGCTGCTATGTGGCAGCATTTAATGGTTAACTGTTGTTCCTAGATATCTTGGGGCCTTAGTTTGAATTCCAGCTGTACCAGCTCTCTGTGATGTTTGAAAATTTCCAGAATCTTTCTGTGCCTTAGTTTCCTCTTCTATAAAATGGGGATAATAGTGGAGGCTGCCTAACAGGGTTGTGAGGATTGAATTGATTAAATATATTAAGTGCTTAAAATCACTCATGGCAAGCAGGAGGTACAATATAAGCATTTGCTATTACTATCATTCAAAGCATTTCTTGTGTGCTTGGTACTATATTAGGAGCTTTTTCTAAATAATTCATTAATCTTCTCTAAGGTAGGCAGTACTAAGCCTGCTTTTTATATGGCTGGCTCATGCCTGTAATCCCAGAAAATCAGGAAGCTAAGACAGGAGGATTGTAAGTTCAAAGCCAGCCTCAAAAACTTAATGAGACCTTTTCTTTCTTTCTTTTTTTAAAAAAATTTTTTAGTTGTAGGTGGACGTAATACTTTTATTTTATTTATGTGGTGCTGAGGATCAAACCCAGAGAGACACACACACAAGACAAGCACTCTACCACTGAGCCTCAGCTCCAGCCGAAGATCTTTTCTTAAAGTAAAAAAAAAGGAGAGGGGTGCTGGGGATGTAGCGCAGTGGTAAAGCTCCCTGGGTTTAATCTCTGGTATTAAAAATAAATAAGATGAAAGGAAGAAAGAAAGGAGGGAAGGAAAGAGGGAGGAAGGGAGGGAGGGAGGAAGAAAAAGAGGGGGGAGAGAAGAAAAGGGAGGAAAATATAGAAGGAAAGAAAAAAGAAAGAAACTAAGGTTTGCAGAGTTCACATGACTTGCCTGAGGTAAACCACTGCAGGGGACACATCAACAGGACCAGATGAGAAAGGGCTGGGAAGAGCAGGCAGTTGCACCTCCTGTCCCTGTCACTTAACTTAAAGACCATCTCACTTGCCTCCCCCCTGTACTGCTTGGTTCCGGCTCCAACCCGGACTCTTGTCTTGAACCGTGTGAACTGTCAGCACGTGAGAAGCATTTGCAGCGACTGGGGAGCGAGGTGATTTAGGAGCAGGGGAGGGAGGCTCGGTGAGACCGGAAGACTGCCACTGCATGGTTCATTTTGGAGCTGCCTCTCAGCCAGACCAAATGGGAAACTTCCTGTGTAGAAACAATCAGGACATTAATCCTCAGATGAGTGAAGACACACATGTCTCCACTAATATCCCAGGTGGATCAGACCGATTATGCTGCGCTGTAGTGCAATTTCCTCTCGGTTTTTCTTTCTTTGGCCTGACATTGTGCAGATGGCAAGCTCTGCTTACTGGAAGTAGGTATGGAAATGATAAGTAGAAATATGAGACATCTGAGTATCACTTAGGCTGAAACTTGGCACCGTAGGCCTGACTGAAAATCCAGCAGGCCTCTCTCATGACCCTTTGTCCTGGCTCTTCCTTTGCTAGGGAAGGCGCCTGCTGGACTCCCCCAGCTCCCTCCAAACCCCACTGTTGTTAGCTCTGGCTCTGTGAGCCTGACTTCTTCTCACCAGGAACGTTAGACCAAATTATCCTCACCGCTAAAGTGCCAGGGTGCATGCGTAGGCACATGCGCACACATGGACGCAAAACATACCATGAATACATACATGCATAATGCACGCACACACACACACCACACATCCACACACACCACACACGTTCATGCATGCACACATCATGTGCACCACGTACCACACATATGTAGGTATGCACACACGTCATGCATATCACACCCACTGAACGTGCATGCCATCCGCACATTGCACCACAGTCCACACTACACACATGCAGACATATATCTCCAGATGCTGCTCAGATTCCCACCTAGTAGTGCTAACCTCCTCAGCAAGGGCCTCCTTCCTGCTGCCCGTTCTGGCTCCTTGAGTTTGTTTCTTGTACTTTCTATAGGACAAAGCACCCTCCTCTGTCCTTGAGCTCTGTGTCCTTTCTCTTTAGATCCTAGCACCTGGAGTGCCTCTTCCAGAAAGTTCTTCACTCAGGTCCTTGTCTTTGCCTAGCTTTCTGTTTGTCTAGTAGCTTGTACCTGTTTTCAAGTCTGCTCTTGACACAAATACAACTTCCTGAAGGCCACAGGATGCCTCTTCCCACGTGTTGGACCTGGAGCCTCACTCCTCTGTCCTCCTGTGCTGCCCATATTGACGGCAGACTCAGATGCAGCGTGGCTCCACAGAGTACCTGCAGCAGGTCTCATGGGAATTCTTGAAACCCTCTTCCCCACCCCACTCTCTGGATAGACCAATTTGAGTTTATCCAAACCTCAAGACTGTATTTTTGCCTGTCCCCTTTAATGATTAACTTGCTTCAAGGAATCCGAGAGCCCAGACACAGTGGCTCCTGACCTGGTTACTGACCCCTCCTAATGATGTCTTTCATGGGGTTTATCCTCAGGACTCAGCCTATTTCCTGTGAGAAAGTGACTCCCATTGGGTACTGATTTTGCTTCTCAAGCCAGGTGGAAATACTGGCCCGCCCCTTGACCCAACTGTGCATGCAGTTTGGTGAATAAAGGTCTGTAGAGTAGAAAGGTTTGAGATTTGGGGTTTGACTCTCTTTAGACGCATTTTAAAGCTCATTCAAGACTGATCCTATTAAGAAAGACAGCAGCGATTGTGCTTCTGTCGCACAACTCTGAGCCATCTGGGGCCTGCCACTCAGAGCTCAGCTGAGGATGGTAAGGGGCGCTGGGTTCCCCATAGCCTAGGGCAAAGCACAGACATGCAGGTGGCCAGCGCTCCTGCACAGGCCCCTGCACACCCTGCAGACTTGTTTCTTGAAGGCTCTCCTGAGTCATTGCTATCTACACCCAGGCAGCTATATTAGAGCACCACAGAATAAGGCTTTCAAACAACAGAAGTTGATTTTTCACCGTTCAGGAGGGGAAGGCTGAGATCAAGATGTCAGCAGGATTGGTTTCTCCTGAGTCCTGTCTCCTTGGCTTGCTGTCTTTTCCTATCTTTACACAGCCTTCCCTCTATACTGTTGGGTCCCCATCTCCTCATGAGGACACTTACCATATCATATTAGAACTCTCCCCAATAACCTCAGTTTAACTTTGCTTTTCAAAAGACTCTCCAAATACAGTCACAATCCAAGGTGCTGGGGGTTAGAAAGTTGACATAAAAATTTTGTGGGGAACACTCTTTAGCTCATGAAACTCTACTTACTTAATGTACACTGCTTGGTTTTAGGGCATCGTGGACATTAAGTTTGCCTTCTTTGGGAACATTTCCTCTGTAAAATGGAATTAGTCAGAATTCTGCTGTCTTCAGGTTGTTCTGAGGAGTCCATGCATGTAAAGCTTAGATAGTCTGGCCCATGTTGCTTAGTACATGTCAGAACCATTTAAAGAAATAAAAGTGGTGACATTGCTGAGGAATACCACATTATTAGCAGATTTCTTGGTCACAATGGCGTTCCTTCTTTATAGCACGTGCTGGTCATTTGGCTTCTGTCGCTTTCATTTTGCTCATTTCTTACCTGGAGTCTTCACTGTGGCTGCCTAGCACCCCAGATTCAGGTCAAAGCCCTGCTCCCCCAGCCCTGCCCACACGAGGGTTGTACAGTGCTGTGGCAGGATGAGGCCCTGGGCCTGCCACCTCGCCCATCTCCTCTTGGTAAGCAGGAGGTCTCCAGACTTCCTGACTTATAACTCCTCCACTCAGGCATCTGCTTTTGACCTTGGCACTTCCCCTGAGCTGTGCCAGGTCCTGGGGCACTTGCCAGCCCTCCCAGGCTGCCAAGCCAACTCTCTTCCATCATTTGAATGATGTGGGAAATCCCATCTCCCCTCCTGCATGGAGTCTCCCTGGATTGATCACAGGAAGGTGCTGACATTCAGGCACATGGTGCTGCCAGTCTCCCTTACCCAGATGTGTGGCTTGTGCTTAGAGCCCCTTATGATAAAAGGCTTTCTGCTCAAAATTCCTTCTGTCAACAAGCATCCAAGTGTCCACCTCTGTCAGTATTTTTTAAAATCTTAACTTGTAAGGCTGGGTCTCATTCCATTCTCTGTCCTATGCATTACATGTGCATAAACATGCCCAGAGGAGAGGCTGGGTTTCTACAGTTTACAAAGCAGTCACGCATGAGCACTTTCTCCCTTCTCCACCCGGTTTAGTGCTTCTATGACTTTGCAGCTGCTGGTTCCCCTCTGCTTGAAAGCACGTCTTCTGCTTTGTCCCTGGGGGGACACCTGTCCTAAGTCACACCTGGGCCAAGGCTCTGGGAGTTGCCTCACTGACCCTGGGGAGAGCCTATACCTCCCTCCTCGATGGCTCCTTTGTGCCCTTGGGGGCATCTTGTCCACATTCACCCACTGTACTGTGGTTGTCTATGTGGCCTTCCTGACTGGACTGGGAGCTCCTTAAGGGCCGGGATAGTGATTCATTCATCTTTGTCTCTGCAGT